ATCATGGGGCCAGTCAGCCTGTGGAACTGAAGAAAACGCCCTTCCTTAAGTCGTTTCATTGAGATATTTTATCACAGCAATGAAAAAAGTAATGTGCATGTGTGCTCTGGCAGAAAAGAGCAGGTCTGGACATTCATTCAAAAGTATAAGGTATACATAAAACAATAAACCAACATGACATAACTGGTATTTATAGAACACTGTACCCAACAACCTTCTTTTCAAATACATGTAAGACATTTACCAAGCTCACATTTGGAGCTATAAAACAAATTTCAATGAATTTAAAACAATCACATCTCACTGAAATTAACAGAAATATCTCTCGAAGATCCTAATACTTGTAAACAAACTTCTCAATAATCCCAGATCAAAGAGATACCAGAAGCCACACACAGCTGTGTTTGCCTTCAGCCCAGATACTCCTAAGAGTGACTAAAAGGATCTCCTCAGCCCAGAGGTTAGAGGCTAACCTGGGAAACAACAGAATCCCAAGGTCCCCAAAATAGAAAAATGTGGAAGTAACCAATTTAAGCAGTCAGAACTTCTAGTATGGTTATAATGAAAAATCAAATGATCTCAGCTTCTAGCTTCAGAGATTAGAGAAAACAAAGTACACCCAAAGAAAACAATGAGCAGCAGAGAAAAAACAAGGCCTTTAAAAGCAGAAAACGCCAGGAAATCAGTTAAACTAGAGGCTGCCAATGAGATTCATCCTCAGTAATAAAAAGAAAACCAAATCCCCAACTGATTTTTGCTCGTGAAATACATTTCAAAGTAAAACATAAATTTAGGAAGAAAATACTACAAAAATCTTTGATTCACTTCACTATTGATCATGATTATTAATCGACTATATAGACTGACATATTTTTCCAACAAAATCTGTTGAATTCAGTTATCAACACAAGTTCAGTATCATTTTACTTGTATTCTAATTCTGAAGCCTATGAAAATTTCCAAGCTGTAATTCTCCTTATTAACTTAAAAATTAAAAACTTGCATATCCAATAGTAAAAGTAGTTAAGTAAATTATATGGAAAACATGGATGAGAATCAACATATTAATCCAGTAACACTGCAGAAAACAATGGCACGAAAGCGTGCTGACGAGCCTGTTAAAGACCACAGCCATTTACACTGGAGTAGGCGGTGCCCTCTATACAGCCATGGGTCTGTGAGTGTGCATAATAAACTCACACAAGGCTTAAGCACAGTGGAGGAAAAGGTAACAGAAAAATAACAATGGCTCCTCTGGGTGATAGGATTTTCAGTAGTATTTTAAATTCTTAAAACTATGCTTTTTGTTGTGGTTTCTATGTTTTCCAAATTTCCATACAGGAATGTGCTGCATTTATAACCAAAGGCTGAAAATTAAGAAAGTAAGTCAACTACTGAACATAAGTTCTATTTCAATACAAATAATAAACTCTTAGCTAGGCACGTGGCTTAGATTACAATTACCACTTTATTTGTGCCTCGTTTCCTAAATACAAAAACCTTTCAAGTTAAGTATGGCATATCCCAGTACTAAAGAAGTCAGAGCAGAAGGATTGATTCAGAGGACAAGACAAGCCTGGACTACACAGCAAGACTCTATCTCAAATCCGAACACCAACAAAAACAAAAAGGGAATCAATTTGAGGTCTTATTTTCTACTACTTATAATGAAAATTAAAAATTAAAAGATATTCAATTAAACATGAGCTCTTTTAAAAAGCAGAGTATTTGCTGAACACAGGGGTCCACTTTTGATTCTAGCACTCACCATATAAATAAAAGAGATTTTACCAAAAAAATTAAATATTTAAAATAGAGAGCATTTAAAAAAAATTTAAATCCATTAGGGTATGGAAAGATGGGTCACTGGTTAAGAGCACTGGCTGCTCTTCCAGAGGAGCGGGGGTCAATTCCCAGCACCCACATGGCAGCTCACAAGCATCTCTAACTCCAGTTCTCAGGGGACCCGACACTCTTCTAGCTCCCAAGAGAGCCCACACTGACATGGTGCATAGACATACATGTAGACAAAACATCCAAACACATAAAATAAAATTTTAAAATAAATAGTACTTTTTAAAAAATCAAAACAATAAAAATGTACACTCTATAAATGATTTCTTTTTGTAGAGTGACAGGACAGACTTAAAATAATAAGACAAAGTACTTCTTTGTGAATTATACAAGTAGCATGATAACTCAGAATTAAAACTGTGAGGATAAATTGTTTAGGTAATTTAATATTTGCAGAGTAAAGCATGGAGAAAACAGAACTTCTTTATCCACTTAATTTATGGGAATTACATATATCAGGGATATTAAAAATGGTTTTAAAGAAATCTATAAATGCCATTATGTAATTAAGCCAATTAGTAAGGATTAAATTGTTCTTACACTTAACGGTGTTGAGTTGATAATTCGTTCAACTCTACCAACAATTTAATGGTCAGAAAGGGAGAAAATACAGTTGATGTGCTGTCTACAAGGGATCTACCTCAAAAAAGATGCTGCAACGTCTGCAGATGTTCTAAAGGAATAGTCACAAAGATGGTTGTGCTATGAAATGTGAAACTTAAAGGTAATGTGTTCCCTACAATGTTTTATTAAAAAATTAAGAACAAATAAATAGCTTACCTGATATAGAAGCATAAGTAAAAATAAGGAGAGGAAGCATTTAATGCTGTGCTCTGGGGAAAGGGTAAGAAAGGAAAAAACTTTCTTTTATTATTAGCAAAACCTGCCCGACGTGTTCGATAATGGGCAGCAGTTCACTGACAAGTGTAGTTCTGAGTTTCATATTTCTAACAACCTTGAAATCAATATATAATTAGTTTATAATCATCAAATAAAACAGCAAAAGGCTCTCTCCAGAGGGAAAGCTAAACTAAGTCATGTACACAGATAAACAGCACCACCGCAGAGACACCTGCTGTATGGTTGCAGCTGACTCCTTCGCGTGAAGAAGAGTCTGAGCTTTCTGGTTTGCTTTTCTCTCCTTTCTTAACTAGATAGAGGCTGAGATACCTATTCACCCTCGAGGACCCAAACTTGAGATCCTATAATTGGGCCCCTAAGAGTGCTATAGCAAATGTTAAAACTTAAGTCTCTGTGCCGAATTCACACCAGTCTGAACTCCCTTCAAACATTGGGGAGTGGGGAGTGTAAGGGGTTATATCCTAAAGTTTATATCAGATGTTGAAACTCTATGACATATTCTAATCATTTCTATCCTGGGGAGTGGGGTACAGTTGAGACAAACTGGCAGAACAATCATTCAAGAACTCAATAACTGGCCAAGCATAACCCCAACGTTAAGGCTCAATAAGGCAGGAGATTCTGTACCTCCAGACAAATCTGGACTTCATACTAAGACTCCCCAACATCCCCACAAAAAGCTACCTAAAACTCAATAATTCAGCTTTTAAGGCTAAAATGAGCATACTTATAATTCACAGAAGAAGATGGAGAAAGCTACACATCCAATTGTTAATTCTGGAGAAAGTTAGGAGGTAAAAGTAGAAAGGTATACCCAGTGTGGCGGCACACACCTGTAATCCTAGTACTCAGGAAGCTGAAGCAGGAGGATTATCATGAGTTCAAGGCCAGTCGAGAGCACAGGGTAAGTTCCAGGACAGCCTGAGAGCCTGTCTCAACAACAACAACAACCAGGGCAGACAGCCTCACTTCCGTGATTCACTGGCTTACAAGACTGGAAAGGGGGACACCCGTGAAGTGCAAATGAAAGACAAATATCATGTGCACTAGAGTGACGACCAGCAACAAACAGAAGCAACACAGATATCCTAGCCTACAAAATAAAAATACTACTATAAACGAAAATCTCTATAGCAACTAGCTTCTACCCAGTACTATTGTACTATAGACAACACATAAAACATTTCATCTGAGTATTCCCCTCCTAAAACTGTACCCATTCTCACAAGACCCTTTCCACCTTAACCCTGTTGAAAAGGGTACAATGTATATTTACACAACCTGTAATCATAAAAATGCTTACTTTCTTATATATGCTTCTGAATTTTATTTTCCATACGAAATAATCCCCCCCCCACTTCACTGGGTTTCATGTCTGACCTCCTTAAAGGAAATAATGGCTGCCCATCAGAACAGCACATTGAGCTAAACAATCTAGTCTATTAGCATTGAAAATACAGTGTTCAAACTTCCAAGGTAGGGATCGACAAAAGGAAAAAAATATATGAACTATAGTTCCTGAAAAAATGAAAGGGAGCCACTACCCTATCAAAGGAGCATGATCCAACTGTGGCACCAGATGCAGTTACCACTAAGTGACAGCAAGGAAAAAGAACAACCTTTGTGGTTTAAGTCGTGTGACTTCACCTTCTTAAAGTGGAAAGAGCCGGCAAATTCATCCTAATCTTTTCTTCAGGTTATTCTTTCAAATATTAAGAAAAATATTGAAAATAATCAAAATTCCCTACAAAATAGGAAGCCAACAGCATATAAAGTATTTTAAGTAATTTTTGTTTATGAATCCATAAAACAAAAAAATACTATAGACAATACATAAAACATTTCATCTTCCACCCTTTCCTCTTTAGACCACTTCTCCCTTTCCCAAAATTATTGGTTTTCTAGTATTATTTTAGGACTTCCTTATACAGAAGAGCAATACAAACCTTATAGTTATTACATGCTCCCTTAACACAGAAAACAACACACAGTTCATACCATTCTACTTCTTGCTTTTTTAACTTTATGCCTAAGTTTTGCTTCGTTCTTTTTTCTAGCCAATGTCACTCTAGGCAGTAAACTCTTGGCACATAAGGTTTCTTTCCCCTAAGATTTTAAAACAAACCAGATTTGAACTGTTCCGGGGCACATGACTTAGAGACAGCAACTCATTAAGTTATAGCCTCTTAAGAATTTCTTTTCAATCAGCTATGAAAATGGATGTTCTACAACTTTTCTTCCCTCATCTCTTTTAAAGCTGTAACAACGCAATCGAGTGAAATTACCTTTCCTGTGATTTCGGGGATCGGTGCCGTAGTCAAATCAACAATGCCTTTAAAAGTTTCTTCTTGTGCTGTTCTTTCACTGGAAAAGAAAACACCGGGGTTTGTTGTCGTCTTCTTAAAAGCGTCAAGAAAGCCTTTCAAGTGGTGGGGGTACGGCATTCTAATAGCAAAAATCCACCACCTGATCTGTCATCTGCCAGGTCGGAGGCCAAAGCTCTTCATCTTTCAAGATTCTACTGACTACCCGGGACTTGGACGGCGGCTGAGAACACCCACGGGAATATAAACTTCGTGGCGCTCCGTAGGATTCGAGCCAGGACCACGGCCGGGACGGTCAGCTCCGCCAGCGGAGAGCGGCGGGTCGGACGCCCGGGGCCCCGCGCAGCCCGCCGACCAAGCCCCGGAACCACGACCACTAACGGAACCAGCCCCGGGCGGTAGCGGCGGCCGCTCGGACCGCGGACCGCGGCGCTCGCCGGCCGCCGCGAAGGCGGGGGCTCGGCGGAGGAGCTGGCCGCCCCATCGCCCCATTGGGCGCCGCTCCAAACGTGCCCGAATGGTGACAGGAATAAAGTGGGTCACAAGGCCTAGCGGGTCCCGGGCGCGAGCCCTCTGGGCGGCCGAGTCGGCCTGTCACCGCGCCCAGCCTCCAGCGCGCGGCCGCCCCGGCGTCCCCCACCCCCCACCCCCGGGTCGCAGGACCCGCCGCGCCCCCCTGCCCCGCAGGTAACCCCGGCAGCCCGCGGACACTTCCCGCAGGCCCAGCTGAGCGCGACTCCGGGGAGCTCCGCGCTCGGCCAGCACCCAGATCCCGGCCGCCGCTCCCGCCTCCCGGCCTGGTTGCCGCCGCCGCCCCCCTCGCCCCCGGCCTCACACGCTGCCCCCCGCGCCCGCCCGCGTCCTCACCGTGCGGCCGCCTGAGGCTCCGGCTTCCTCCCCCCCAAACCCGGACTCGGACCGTGGGGACCGGCGTCTGCCAGGCCGTGACGACCGGGAGCCGCCGCGGCCCCGGCAGCCAGCAGCACCTGGGGCGGCCGGTGCGCGCCCCCAGCCCACCCCTCCAAATTCACCGCTACTGCCGCGCTCCTCCCCCTCCCGGCCTTCCCCTCCTCCACTGGCTCCGGAAGCACGCATGCGCCGCCGAGGCCGGCCGCCCGCCCGCCGCGCGTGCGACCCGGGGCCCACCCTGTGGGGCGCACCTACCGGGAGCGCGCGCGCGGCGGCGGCCAGATTTCCTTCGCGCTCTCGCTGTCCGGGCTTTCCTCTCCCCAGCCGGTAGCCGCCAGCCGAGTCTGTGATTGCGCTCCCTCCCGGCGCATGCGTCGTGGACGCGGGGCTCCGCGGCCGGCCGGGCTCAGCACTCGCCCCTCCCCTCGCGGCCGCCTACCCCAGCGCGCCCGGGCGCGCATGCGACTTTCCCCGTTAGGCAGCCCCGAGCCGCGCGGCGTCGCGCTGCTCCCGAGGATCCCGGGCGCCCGAGGAAACCCCGACTCCTGCGGGCCGGCGTCTGCTCGCTCTGCGGCCGCAGAGGGAAGCGGGGATGCCCCGGGGTCCCCTGTCCCGCGCGGGCCGGGAGGCGGGGCCTGACGGAGGGTGCGGCCGCCGGCAGCGGTTTGGGTGGCTCTCGGTTCCCCGGGAGCAGAGCTCCCTGCTTCTGGGAGCCGCTGGCCCAACAGGGACCTCTGTCCCTGGAAAAGCAAAGAGCTTAGCTGATGCCAAGTGAAAATTCTCCAGCCCGACTTGTAAGAGGTCGACTTCCTCTCCTGGAGGTGCGTGGGCTGCGGGGACTCGGTTTCCAGCTGCTCCCCGGACGTGGACTTGGGCGACACAATTGACCTCGGCTGCAAAAGGTCGGAATGTGTTTGCTCATTTTATAAAATGGCAAGAGAACACTATAAAATCTGAGGATGGCTCCAGAGATGAACCAGGACCCCAGATTACACTTATTTCGTGGCCACTGCACCCGAATTATTGGAAAAGAAGCCTTTAGAGCCCTAATTCTTACTAATTTCTTTTTTAAAAATCATTTTGGGCATGAAACAGAAGGCAATAAATAAATCTGTACTCTTTAGTTTCCAAATCTCTCTTCAAGGTATGTCCACCTCAGTAAGAATTAAATTCTTGGTGTATGCTCAGAATAAAAGAACTTCAAACCCGGAGAATTTAGCTGCCAATTCTCCCAGCAGTGTGAACGCTGAGGTAGGAGAATCCTCAAATTTCTGGCTAATCTGGGCTGCATAGCCAGAGCCTGTCTGGAGAATTTTCCCTTGATGGGTGCTTTGTTCCTTTCGCCATCGAAAAAACCCTTACTGCACATTTCTGCTGTTCTGAAGGCCATGTGCTGCTCTGGTTCGTGTCCTCTAAACAACTTACCCATTCTCCACTCGGTCCCTGCGGGCCAGGCAGAACGCTGCAGAGGAGGAAACCTTGTCTGAGTTCTCTTTCAGCCTGACAGTTACTACCCAGAAGACTGGTTTCCAGTGGATTTGGATCTGGAAGAATGAAGCCTTTTCCTGTGTGGCTAATGAAAAGGGAAGGAAAAAACAAAAAGGCAGAGTCAAAGATGGAGATGTAGCCTAGATGCTTGATGCCCGTCAGTGGGGGCTAGATTCCTCAGGAAATTTCAGTGAAGTAATAAATTCCCGAATGCGTGTGTTTTATTGCTGAAACCAATGAGATTTTCTGCCATGTCCAAGTTAGTGTCTTGACCACTCGTCGGTAGTGAAAGGAAGTAAGGTCAGAGTGCTGTTGAAGTAGGCTGCAGCCAGACCAGAGTCCGAGGGCTTTCCCTAGGCTCAATGCTTCTGTTTTAGTCTAGAGACAGTCCCATTTTATATTCCATATTCTCTAGTACATATATCTTCACATGACCTTTGCCCTTGAAATGATTTCATTGTCCTCCTAGTCACCTCTGGCTCCTCCCTCTCACATTTTGGGTTTAATTATTTACCAAGACCTGTTGATAATCCCTTGATTTTCTCCTCAGTCCTCTGCCACTGTTTGAATATTTCCACGGTTCACTTTACAACTTTCCTTCCATATTCTCTCCAAGGGACTATTTTCTCCCCAACTTGAACATTCTATGTTTCCGTCAAACAAAAATTTTGGCCTCATAGTTTTCATAAATACTAAATCAAGGCTCCCAATTTTAACCACATGTGTTAGGTGTTCTGTAAACTCCCCTGTGCCTTGCTGCCATTTAAAATGTTTCCATATAAAGCTCTTCTTCATCTGTAAAATGAGGATAATAGTCTCAGCGCATAGGACAGTTGAGACAGCTGTGCATTAACACTACCTGCTAGTAAATTCCATGTCAAGTATTGGCCAGTTTAAATGTTTTTGAAATTGAAATTTAATTGCACCATCTCCCCGCTTCCCTTTCCTCCCTCCAGTCCTTCCCATGTACGCCACCTTGCTCTCTCTCAAACTCATGGCCTCTGTTTCTCTAATTGTGTGTGTGTGTGTGTTCCTAAATATATAAATACAGCCTGCTTAGTTTGTATGATGCTACCTGTACGGCTATGATTTCAGGGCTGGGCACTTGATATTGAATAACCAATTTAGGGGCTCATCTCTGGGGAGAACTGTGTTTCCCCGATTTCAGCATTCCTTAGTGGCCTACACAAGGGTTGAGGCCCCTTGAGATTTACCCCTTCCATGTTAGCATGTCTATTGATGTCTTTCTTGCTCAGGTCTTGTTTCAGAAGCTACACTGTTGAGACTTTGTAGATATAGCTTCTCTGACATTTCTAGGAAATACAATCTCACAGCAAACTTCCTGTTCCTCTGTCTCTTATAATCTTTCTGCCTCCTCTTCCACTGTGACCCCCGAGCCCTAGGTACAGAACTGTGTTGTAGATGTGTAAGTTGGGGCTAAGTACCATACAGTTACTCATTCTTGCATTTTGATCTGTTGTGGTTTTCTGTAATAGTCTCTATTTGTTGCATAAAAAAGTTTGATAAAGGGTGAAACCTATACTTATCTGTGGCTATAATGATTAATATTTAGTATGTAGTTAGGACTCTTGCTGGATTGGTAATGTGGACATTGTAGGTTCTCCATCAAGTTTCACAATTTCACTAGCACCAAGTCTCTGGCTAAGTTTCCAATACCAGGCATTATTTTCTTCTTGCTAAATGGGCCTTAAGTCCAGTGAAGGAGCTGGGTTTCAGCCAATGGATGTGTGCTACTATGAAACTCGAAGGGATATTGTTTGGCTATTTTAAAAATCAGTTTCCTTCCATGATTTCAGCTGTCTTTGGTCAGATTCTTTGGCTAGCCCTCTATGTCCCACTAGTCACAAAGTAGCGTCTTCCTCTCATAATACCGTTCAATCTGCCATAGACACAACTAGTGCACCATACTTCTTGGTGAGTTGGAAGCTTCAGGCATGCAAAAGAATACTGTACAGTTTTTAAATATTCATGGCTGTATGACTTGGGATCTTTCTAGTCCTTTTAAAATAGAGGGGATTTCAGCAATATCTGTGGTATTATAGAACTCAGAGTCAACAATATAGACTTAAAATGTTATTTTAAGTTCCTTAAGCTGAAGGGACACAGAGCAAGTAATTCCCCCAAGCTTCCGAGTATTACCCATAAAATACAAGTATTGGAATTCTGGAGAATTGTAGCTTTAGGTGGTGAGAATGGCTGCTGTCCATCTTTACAGTCTGCCACTAGAGCCCAAGGAATGGTTCCATTGACTCAAGCATTTTGACTGCAGCTTCCAGTTCATCAGTTTTCATACACATGTCCAGTTACCTACTTGATGTCTTTTCTTGGGTGTCTCAAGTATGCCCCACAAACAGAAATATTCTTTTGAAATTGTGAGTGGTTAGTAGTGGTACATACTTGTAATCCTAGCACCAGGGACACCAAGACAGAAGAATGGTGAGTTCAAGGTTAGCCTAGGCTACCGAGCAGGACCCTGTCTTTAAAAAAAGAAAAAAGTGTGAGAGAAATTACATTGTATTCCTTCTAAAACATCTATTTGCAGTTCATCCGAATGCTTAACCATGGCCATGATCCCCTATTTGATCTGCCCCATGCCTGCCCTCCAACGTCATGGCCTACCATTTGCTCTCGTGACATTCCAGAAACATCTTTTCAATTCCTTGCTAATCACCACCCACTTTCAGGCTTTGACTTGCCTGCTTTCTGCTGTGCCTATTCTTAAGCCTGCCTCCTCCACTTTCATGTGTCAAAGGAGCTTGGTATTTTAAAGGATCCCTACTCTTCCACCTGCACAGTGCCCACCACTTCTCGGCTTATTCTTTCTCCCATAACACTTCCTAGTAGCATATGTATTTGTTTAATGTTCAATGTCTTACTAACCATCTCCCCTACCAGATGATACACTTCAAGAGGAAAGGGACCACATGCTTTATCTGTATCATTTATTTCAATATCTGAAGTGAATTGAGTGAATGAGATTAGAGATGCTAGATTTTTATACCCAATAGACTATGATTGGAGGCAGATTGTCAAGAAGTAGCTCTAGATATGTATATAGAAGTGCAAAGCAGGGATAAACTGGAATTCACTGGGGAAGATCATGTGACCAGTACTGTTGTCCTAGTATTTGAGAATCCTGGAGAATGTGGAACACTCTTATAGAATTATCTGTATAAGAACATGAGACTATACATAATAAAGTTACCACCTGTGTAAGAATGTGTGGCACTGTAAATAGGCAAGGCTGTCACGTTTGTAGGAGCATTCAACACAGGATTAGATGAGTTACTGTCTGTAAGAAGACGTGACAGTGACAAGAAAGCTACCACCTGTGTATCAGGTGTCACACAGTAACAGGATGCTGCCACCAGTTTATGATGCTAAGTGAAGTCCAAAGGAGGGAACAGAGTGTCTAGTATCTCATCCCCTAAATAACTACCAGTATCTGATGCTCGCAACCTGCCCCTTCAGCTATGGTCAAAAGTAGTGGAAAGTGGATCTTTCATGGCCATCCTTAACTTCACACTCACGCACAGCACTTAAAAAGAGGAGTGCCCGCCAGGCAGTGGTGGTGCATGCCTTTAATCCCAGCACTCAGAAGGCAGACAGATCTCTGTGAGTTTGAGGCCAGCCTAGTCTACAAGAGCTAGTTACAGGACA